AACTGTGGTCCTGAGGTCAGACTGTTTTTTTTACTGTTGGTTTTGAAAATGTTTTTAGATTCAGCAGAGTGTTTGTTTGACAGTCACTGAAGCTGTGATACTGCCCACTGAGAAACACTTGAAGTCTACTCTGCACCAAGGAAAGCAGACAATCCTTGTTTGCATTTTTTTTCAGTAGGAAACTGCATGGAAAAGTAATGTGCATGAGCAGTAGTGTTAGTTAGTTAGTTAGTTACTTAGATGCAGAAAGTATTTATGACCATTTTGCGATTAAAAAATACAATATAGTATGTGATAGTGTGTGTCCTAGTGTGTTTAATTTTGTTTGTGTTTGACCACACTGTAACTTCCAAACAATTTTCTACGGAAGAAGTAAAATGTAAATAAAGAGGAAACAAGCTCACATTTCAATAGTTCTGTGTTTTTAATAATTTAAATGAAATATTTTTAAATATATATTCAAATATTAAAAATGTTTGACAATAGATACATTTTATTATTTATTTTTTTTATTATATTATTTTTATTCCTGCCAAACATTGGCTGATGTATGCAACGTATTTTACAAGCTTCTCAAACATCAATTATGTACAGTATACATAAGCATAGCATTTATTTTACAATTTTAATTAATGTCTATCATGTATTTAAAAATGTATATATTTTACCCTACATCTGGACATACTTTTGTTTTCCTTTTTTAACATTTGTAAGGAGTAAGATTGCTAAATATGTTTGTTTGTATGTCGTGGTTTTTTTTGCACATATCAGTGCTTTGCTCGTTGCTCCATCGGCATAAGGACATGTGATCTGCTGACCTTTGGAATTTGGCTGGTAGAACTTGATGTTCTCAAACAAACAGCCCTGGAATCTCCCTGGAATCTCTGTTCTTTGCACGTGACTAATGAAAAAGTACCTTTCTGGGCAATACTCATAAATCTTGATGAATTTTCTGACTGTTTTTTTATTTTTTGTGTGTACACTTTGACCTTATTGCTAGTCCAGTAAAAGCCTCACAGTCGGTCCATATAAACATGCAGTATGTACTTCAAGCAGATCCACACTGAGCATTTTTCCTACAGTAAGTTCCATTGGAGCCAGCATCCAGAACCATCTGCACAGTGACTCATTTGACTGACATTTCACACCATTTATAGGCAGTGTTTGGACACCTACTCTGCTGCCACTCCTGTGAATGCCAAACCTTCTCTCCCTGGCAATGTCCTTCGCCTGAGGAAGAGACAGGACAATGTTACTACAATATCCTGACCCCCTCCTCTGCCCCTCTCCCCATGCCTCATCACATTCCAGCTACTCCAGCTGATCCCCGACCCTCCGTTTCCCCAGAGGGTTGGGTCTGAAATGAAAGGAGTGGGGTGGAGCTTCAGTCCCCCAGGGCTTTTCCCCTCAATGTCAGACCCTCCCTCTCACTCAGTTTCTTTTGATTCTTGGCTTGGCTTTTCCATTTACACACACACACACACACACCTAATGAACCCTGAAGACTACGTCCCCCCACCACCTATTCTTCCTCCATCACTTGTCGGTCTTGTCACTTCATTATCAAAGAGTGAAAATGTTGCAGATGTCAACACAATGCTATTGTGATGCGTTATTTTCACAAAGAATCATCCTTCTAGTTAGCACGTCACTCAGTTTAATTGACTGAACTGTGTTGTGTGGAGATGTTTACAGACCCACTGCAGAATGATGAGTTCAGGTGGGCTGGGAGACATTGAATGACCTTTTCAAAAAGAAAGGATTTTTTTACACCTAAAGCTCATCCTAGGAGCTTTGGCTTTTTCTCTTGTGTATCACAGTTGATTTTCTGCTTGCAAAATTGTCAAAATGCAGAAAATGACGCACCGAACTTAGCGGACATTGGTGGAGTCATATAAACTGGAATACAGGAAAATTAATTATGCCGTGAAGAGAGATTAGTGCTTCAAGTGTTTGCACCCTGTAGTGAAAATCTAGGTTAATCATCATAATGTGATTACCTCACACATTAGTATGCAGCCATGTGCTTAATGAGAGGCTGACTGTAACCACAGTTGACGCCATGTTTAAAATAATAATTTGAAAGATTTGGATGAGAAACATTTATGTTAATGTAGTTGTAGAGTGTAAAATAAAACAAGAGAGAAAAGACATTTATTTTACTTTTTTCAAGTGTTTTCTAATAATTCTTCAGTAGTAATTATTAGTACTAATCATTTTGATATAGTTTAGAAGTTACCATTATCATTAAACAGTAAGAAAAAATACCACAAACATAATCTTAGTGGACTGAATATATATATGTGTAATACATCAGTTGAGCCAAGACTAGGCTCTCATCAAGCATCAGTGGTTCCAAAACTACGGTCTGCGTACCGCTTAAAGTACTTGGACGCTCTTGAATGGTCGACAGGAAAAGTGTGATTCCATGTATGTGTGTTTGGATTCTGTTCTATACTGGTCTAAACTGGCAGTACTTTGAGAGACAAATATTTTATAAGAAGTGGTGAGTAGTTTGTTTTCATGTTAATGCACTAAAGCTAAAACGTCTTCTAATCTCTGCTGTGGATGTGGTTTTTGTTTCGTCCATGTTTAAAAGGCTTGATTTCAACTGCCTGTGTAATGCGAGTGAATCACACCCAGCATGTGTGTCAGTCTGATGCTGATACATTATTGATGCCTGATTTTGGCAAAAATGCAGAGTGAGTCTGTCCTACTTACAGAGAGCAGCCCAACCCGCTGTTCCCTGCTGATCTTTTTTTTCTGTTTCACTTTGATCTACCCTCCCTCCACCCTTCCTCTGATTCTCCATCTCCTTCCCATCTCCACTTGCTCCTCCTCCTATCACAGCCTGTGCAGACGACTCCACCTCTTTGCCTCCTCCATCATCACCACCGGCCCCTCCCTCCCAGCTTCTTTCAGCCGTGTCCTCTTTGCGTCAGACAGCCTCCATTCATGAAAAGCGTGACGTGGGCTGGTTTTTTAGCGACCCGGTGACGCTGCTGCCCACCCACTCACATCACAGGTGCTGCAGGAGTTGAAGGAATGTCTTTCAGTCTGCTGCTTCCGACTCCTTCTCCCTCTCTGGTTTTCTGGCTGTTTTGTTTTTCATCCTAACTACGTTGTTAGACGTCTCCTCGGGCTTCTTCCTGCTCTCATCCCTGCTTCAGAAGTCAGATCTAAGTGAGGAGCATGAATCTGAGCCTCTGTGAGTAACGTGCTGATATCCTATTCTGTTTTTCCATATCTTTGAAAGGAAGTAGTGTGATGTGTCGGTGCTGTTATGTTATACGCAGTTTGTGTGATTCAACAGGACATCTTCATGCTGCTGGTGTTCTTTCAGCAGCCGTGCTGCAGGAGTGTGTTGTAAGGTCGTGCGTCGGTGCGTGCAGGAGCTATTTTAGGCTCAGCGGTGGTGATGATGCTTTCTGATGCAGTACTTCTCTGTGCCGTCCGATAAAGGACACATCTGAATTCACAACAGGCATCAATGGACAGATGAAATTCAACTTCCTTTGTCAAACTTGACCAAATTGCCCCAAACCATCCTACTTTTTCTACTCTCTCATTTTCCATTCTCTGTTTTGACTCTATCTTTTTCTCTCCTCCGCCGTCCATCCTCGTCCGTCTCTTTATTTACTCAACGCAGCAGGAAGTGATGTTTGTGTGTGCGTACACACTTCTGTCTTCTGCCGCTAAGCGTGTTTATGTAACTGCACACAGGAGGAGCAGCCGGCTGCTGGACTGACAGGAAGAGTAGAGAGAAACAAATCCATCCGTCTATTTCAACCAACCATCCATCCATCCATCCATCCATCCATCCATCCATCCATCCATCTCTCCCAAAAGAGTTTCTGCCATTTGCTGTTTCCCTTGAGTCTCTGACTTCAGCATTTTTATTTTTAAAGTCAACATTCAAATGTACATGAGTTACATGTTGTGGTTATTTAAAGAGCAGACAGGGAGAATATGAACCCAGCAGCTAATAGAAGCACTAATGTGTATTGATCTCCAGCTTCCAATCCATCTTCTGGAAGAAGAAATAACAAGTGTAGCCCAACACCCGCCTGCTCTTACATGTACCTCTTTTTTTTATCCCCTCATAAATCAACCAATAAAGTAGTATCAGTCACAGACAGTTCCCTTCAATATGTATTGTTCTGTCACTTCACGTGTGTGTGTGTGTGGGGGGGGGGGGGGGCTGTATCTCTCCTCGGCCCTTGTTGTTGGCACACCGAGCTGGTCGTCCCTATTAAAAGAGCACAAGGGGGATTGTTGTGGCAGCAGCTGTTCTGGTGTGCAGTGTGTGTTTGTCTGTGCGCCCGTTTCGTGGTGCAGGGCAGACGGGCCCAGTTCACATGGAGCCGGCTCCTCTTGTGTCCTTTGTTGTCTCTCTGGGAGTCTGTCCTGCTGTGGCTTGGTTGGTACAGCATTATGTTCTGAGCGGGCACGGCAGAATCAGAGTTTCTGTTTGGCCTCATCGTCTGTCTCTGGTGCGTCGGGTTATTTATATATATTTGCAGCTTAAGACAAACTGAAACAGATAATGTATGAAAAAAAAAAAGCTGAAGGATTTTGGACTGTTTTGGTCTCAGCAGATAATGGGACAGTGTGCGTCCTGGTTGTAACGCAGGCTGCAGCCTCGCTGAGAGTCTGGTACTCTGTAGCCAGAGGGAGGATGTGTGACGTGTTAATGGCAACGCATACACACACACACACACACACACACACACACATACACTGTTCGTGTAGATATTTATTTTCACCAGTTCCAGCTGATACCAGCTGAGGCTATTTGAGGCAGAAGTGATGTGTGAACGGAGTGCTAATTATTGTCATCCGTGCTCACCCTGCCTGTGATGTTGAATGTGTAATTAAATGTGCAGTCGGTCAGAGGGACAGCAGCTGAAGCAGCTGAAGTTTTTATACACTTTCATTCTCTTATCTGTCACTTCTCGACTGCAGTTTCGCTCGTTCTCCTGACGACCAGCTCACTGTAATTAAACCTTCACAACATACCATTGGAATTCCACATGATCCCACCTGGCACATTCCCATTGGCTTTGGCTTTGACCTTGTACTGATTTTCTCTCTGACACTATTCAAACCAAGCCGCCAGGTTGGTGTGACAGGCATCATGTGACCTGCTTTTTTCCTCCGAGCTACTGCCAGATGACTAATGAGAGAATCGGAAGGAGTGAAAATATGAAAATGGTTTCAATTCTAAAGAAAAAATAATTTTCTTCAGGTTTCCAAAAATGATAAATGGGCATGAAAATGCAAAGCAAATAAGTAACTTTTTCAGGTATTTGATGTTAGTGTGTTGACTGCTGTTACATAGGCACATGGGAAAGTTAATGGTAACATCTTTGGAGGTCAGATCCTAGAAACTTTTGAGCTCATGATGCTTAAGCCATCAGAACTACATGGAGTTTATAGTGGTACTTTCGCAAATATTTAGCCTTAGGATCAGAAATCTGTCAATTTGGCCTTTATTTTTATTTACTCCAGTAACTGTTCTTATTAAAAACTATATACATAATATATAATAACTATATATATATGTTGATGTACCAGAAGTTAGGAGCACTTCGATACTTATACAATACTCTATACAATATTTCGTGTCTCCACTCCCAACTATTGGATGAAATCAAGGCTGACCGTCAGCAGAAGGTCACGATGAATCCCAGTGTTGACATGGTAACATTTAAATGATGAGATGGAACCTGGCTAAATCGGTCCTTTGTCGGTGGTGCAGCTGTTACCCAGTGGGAGAAGCCCACTGTGGGGCCCGGCAGGGCTTCCCTTAATGAGAAGCAGAGTGGTGGAGACACAGATGATGCTCGTGGTGTTTGGTCTGAGCCTCTGTTTGTCTGTCTATTCAAGGTTGGTCTTTAGTTACACTCATCTGATGCAGACTTCCAGATGCTTCTCTCCAAGTACAATACACAGTGGGACTGTGCAAAAAAAAAAAAAAAAAACCCTCCCCCAGTGGATTGCTGGGAGTAGTGGGATTATTGGATCCTGCCAGACACGCCCCGGGCATGTGTCTGTGTGTACGTGTGTGTGTGTGTGTGTGTGTGTGTGTGGGTGTACACATTCATTCGCTCAACCTGATCTCCCTGCATCACCAGCTGCCATGTACACACACACACACACACACACACACATTAGTACAGAAACAATAGCATCCTTCATTCTTCGGCTTCACCTTAAAGTACGTTCACATTTGTAGTACAACTGCATCACCATTGTTGACGGACCACTTTTAGAGAGCTGAGAAGAGGAAGTTAGTGTAGGATATGTACAGAGTGAAGCTGTGTTTGTACAAGCACGTCTCCGGAGGTCTGTAGAGGGATTAAAGGATCAGCCTGTGATCATTTTCCCCTCGCTCTTCCTGTCCTCCCTCCTTTTATCATTTTTATCCTTTCTACTTAGCATCAGTATTCTGTCCTTCAAACAAGATACTCTTATAAAACCAATGAATGACATCCAAATGCTTTCAGCAAATAAGATTATAATTAATTTACTTATATAAACATATTGTAAACATATATATATATCTTCACTTCAGAACCACATTTATTTGTGTTTTCTTGAGATTATTTTAAATAAAAACGAGCCCAAACTGTTTCTACGATTAATTAGAGTACATTCAAATTTACTAGAAGTTACTTTTTGTAGTATCAGAACCAGACCCAGGCCTGGCTGACTGGCAGGTCAGACTATCACTTCATGTGGACACGGTATCAAAGTGTCCTTTTGCCCAGCCATGGTCCCTCTGGAAAGTCCTGTAAATAAATGACCGTGTAAATGAAACCTCATGTTCGTCTCGTTCAGACACAGATATTATTCATGGGATTGTGTGGCTCAAAGCCCTATAACATCAGGCGTTAATGGGAAAGGTTGAGAGGTCTGTTTCCTGTGCCTGGTGTCAAATGAAGATGTGGAGAGGATGTACACGGAGATGGAGTTCAAAATGGATAGAAACCATACAGGAGCATCTGATTCTCTGTCAGACTGATGTGCACTGTGGTCAGTAGTCCGGAGATACAGTTACTGTGTTTCAGCTCGTTTGTACCGGTTACCGTGCGTGCCGGCCTCAGCCTTCCTGTGTGTGATTCTTTCTGGTCCACCACATCCATCCACCGAGGCCCACGTCAGAAGCCCCAGCTCAGGGAGTCATCCGTGGGGTGGAATTACAGCACGGGCCTCTACTCGCACAGCTCAATTGTCTCTGCTGTGGACGGGACGGATTTATTGGATACCTGAGCGAGCATTCTCTCCTTCCTCTGCACTCTCAGCAGCCTGCTTAGAGACAGGCCTGCATTATAGATGAGCCCCTGGCAGCCACAGAACTCTCACAGCGCTCAAGTTACCCCCAGTAGATACACACAAATACAGTACATGTATTGACACAAACAGGGAGCCAGCACTTGTTTGGGGCCCTCACAGCAGCAGACATGAAAACTCTGCAGATTTGGTCCTTTCAACCTCTGTTATTCCCTGCCTTGTCTTGTTCTTCCTGATTGTTTGGTTTGTTTTTTCTGACATTTTTTCCTTATCATATATAAAGTAATATGCAGGCTTTGTTTTAAAAGCTTCATTTGGTTCAGAGAATTTCAGTCAGGCGGCCTGGATGTACTTTGACCTGTGCCAGTGCGTTCATGTCAGCACTCTCCACACAGAGCTGCATAAACAAAGTGTCTGTGTTTTGATTGGACTGCGTGAGCGTCCTCACCCAGTCAGGAAAGCTTCCACGTAACGCAAGGACAGCTCAATGCTATTTCTCCTCCCTCCTGGACTTTGAGCTCCCATTTTTTGACTGTACACATTGTACTAACTCACTCCTTTACTGTGTCATACACCCTGTTATTTTCAGCTGCCTCATCAAACTTGATTGGAATTCTAAAGCTAAGTTGTCCTAAGTTAAAAGGGTAAAGACTGCATGCTACTACAAGCAGGCTGTTTTTTTTTTTTTGTTTGTTTTTTATCAAAAAGCCCCATTGTTTAAGGTCACAGAGCAGGGTCATTTAAAAAGAAAATCAGAGGTACCAGTTATCTGAGCTACAGTGAAGTGCATTTACCCCCTTAATGACTATGGTAGTTAGAACGCACACTGTCACATGACCATGAAAAGATACTTTAACATGTGTTTAAGGCTGATCCTGCATTAATCACTGATAGTTGTGAAGAGCTCGTAGGCAGACCATACGTTCAGAATATTGTACACACACCATATAACAGTTATTCCTGTTATTCCTGTTATTTAATCCATTTACACACACCATATAACAGTTACATTTCCTGTTATTCCTGTTATTTAATCCATTCCCAGTTCATGTGTTCATTTGACTTTTTATATTACAATAAAATATAAATTACTTTGTGGTAATGACCTCTGACCTCTGGTGGTTGAGGCACTGACGTGAACTGGTCCGTTTTCCGGTGCAGCTGCTCGTGGGTTTCTGGCAGCGACTGTATGTCCGGCTCTGCTGGTTAAGCATTAAGGGCGTGGGCTGTGTGTACCAGATGTTTTTCTCTCCGTCTAACGCTAATGCACGGCATGACCTTTAATCCCAGCTGTGTTCTGTAACTGCCAGAGAGTTTGACAAGAAAATATCAGATGTTGAAGTCCTCAGATAATTGTCATAAATCCCTTACTTCCATATCAGTGTTCTCTTTGTCTGTCATGTAGAACCATCTCCCATATGGGACCTGTTCCACTCTGCGTTGTTGTTTGCCGTAACAATCATTAATGATGTACGCTCTCTCTATCTCCCGATCAATGAGAGGGAAGTGAGAGGATTAGATTTCTATTTGCGTCCCACCGCACTATAATTTAGTTCATTGTATCAGAAATGTCTCAGATTATTCACATGTATTATCCTCTCCCTCTCCCCTCCCCCTTCTATGTACACTATTACTAAAGATAGAGTAAGTAGGAATGTTGATTAGTGTTCGAAAACAAAGGTCACATGAATCCCCTACACTTCTGCAGGTGGTGCTATAAACGCAGTTTGAGCCGGGTTAATTATCAATCCCAGTAGGCAACCTGTGGCCTAGTTTTAAGAGGATCAGTTTGTCAGGAGAGAGTTACAAGTTTGGATCCTGCCGTAGTTTCTCCAATATTTGGATATGTTTTGAATCGAGATAAAAAAAATTATGGTTTTGAATCGAGATAGTTAAAAAATACAAAATACAGACATGGTGCATCAGTTCTGCAGAAAAAAAAAACGCAACACTGCACCTCTCTTGTATTTCATCAAATTAACTGTGCCGAATACTTTTGTATTATTTGTATTTCATGTACCATGTGTCTTTTCAGGGAAATAATTCAACAATAAGTTGACCCATGGTTCTTTCTCGTTTGTTTCTGCCATCCAGGTGAATTTCAGCTTTCAGAAAAACTGGTGTGTTAGGACGTGCCCCATTCTTCATCACTGGGCAGCCCATGCACACACACGACACCATGGGTAGCTCCCCTGAGGTGCTGTCATGGACATCCTGTCCCAGTCTGCTGGTGGGCAAACTGAAGGAGGAGCTGAAATTGACTGTGGTTGGAGATGCCATTAAGAAATCCAATTCCCCCAACTCCCAAACGCAGCCTCCGCCGGCACCTCAATCAAATTTACCACCTCAGATTATCACAGATTTGGCCCCTCCGACACAGTTACCCGTTCCTGCTCAGTCGCTGCAGACCCCTGGTCAAGACGATGACACAATGTTGGGGGGCATTAGCCCCCAGAACATCAGCACAGCATTGAGTGTGGACTCTACACGGAGCGAGGGACGACACTTTGAAAACAGTGTCCTCCAGCTGCAGGAGCATGACCACGAAGAAGCAGGGTCACCAGCGTCCTGTGACCACGGTGGGTGTGGCAGTGGGATGGAGGAGCAGACTGGGGAGGGAGAGTGTCCCAGGGAGCACGGTGAGGAGGGGAAACAGAACCACCCTCATCATCATGACGACATCAAGATGCACTTCCACAGAGCAGGGCCCGGTTCTGGAGGCTTCTTAGAGGGGCTGTTTGGCTGTTTGCGACCAGTCTGGAACATCATCGGGAAAACATACTCAACAGAATACAAGCTGCAACAACAAGGTGAGCTCCTGGATCTTGGTGTGCTGCTTGACACCTGCCCATTTAATAGTTGTTATTATTCCTGTTTCAGTTTATTTTATATCAAATAAATAGTAGCACCATCGTATCTGCAATGTATTGCTAATGTAGTGGACCTGTGCGGTTGTTGATTTCATGTCAAGGCCGGCGGGAAATGATTGAGGGTTAGACCGAAAGCTGAACTAATTTAGTTAGTAGAGATCTGAGATCTGACCAGCATAGTTTCTGCTCCACGCGGTTTCTAAAACCACCAAAACGAACTAATTTAGTTAGTAGAGATCTGACCAGCATAGTTTCTCCTCCACGCGGTTTCTAAAACCACCAAAAAAACAATAGCATGTGACCCAAATTATTATTACTAAATTGTTATATTGACAAAACCATTTACCTTCCAGACATGTGGGAGGTTCCATTTGAGGAGATTTCTGAGCTTCAGTGGCTTGGCAGCGGAGCACAAGGAGCAGTGTTTTTGGGTAAATTCCGTTCCGAGGAGGTGGCTATCAAAAAGGTGCGCGAGCAGAAGGAGACGGACATTAAACACCTGCGAAAACTCAAGCATCCCAACATAATCAGCTTCAAGTAGGTCTAAAGCGACGTGACTGTGATTGTTACACGGTGCATCAGTGTGTTTATTTTTTGGTTTGATCAGTCCAAGTGGTGATGTACTCTAATGACTCACATGTACTGCTATCTTCTACCACCCAGGGGCGTGTGTACTCAGGCACCCTGCTACTGCATCATCATGGAGTACTGCGCGCAGGGCCAGCTGTATGAGGTGCTGAGGGCTGGTAGGAAAGTGAACCCCAGGCTGCTGGTGGACTGGGCCTCAGGCATCGCCAGTGGCATGAACTACCTACATTTGCACAAGATCATCCACAGAGATCTAAAATCACCCAAGTGAGTGTGTTTTATATTATTTTGTGTGTGGGAATTATTTCCTAAGTTTTTGGTTGTTCTGAAATAAAGGACAAGCTGTTTGTCATTTTCAGATTTTTACTATTTTTTGCCTATTTAACTAATATATTTAAAATAATCAATAATTGGAGAATTAATGAATTACCAAAAAATCATTGGCTTCATCTTTGCTTTGGACCGTGTGTCTGTAAACATAAAAGATAATTCTGTGTAATTTTTAAAATAAAACTGAGTTTAAGTCTTTTTTTTTTTTTTTAGATAAAATGAAACATTTGCTGTGGCGGTGTAATGTACAATGCAGTACAGTATTCTCAGTAGTACTTTGTTATGCATCATCACGTGGGTGTTGTGATTCACCTCTTAGGACTGATCTGTCAGGCTGAGGAAAACAGCCTTCGAAGCAGTCTTTTGAGGCTTCTCAGCCCAAGGCAGCAACAGCATTTCAGCTGAGAGTATTTTGACATCACCCTTGATTCCATTTAGAGTATTATTAAAAGCTTGTCTTGTCTTTATGTACTGCAAGAGTGAGCCAGTAATAAGACTCATTCTGCTCCTCCTCTCTCCTCCTCCTCCTCCTCCTCCTCTGCTCACTGTAGCTCTTTTCCTGTAATCAATAACATCGCTCTGCAGCAGTTCCAAACAGCGTGTGAGTCAGCACAACCACGGCAGGATGAATGTGCTGAAAAGGTCAATCTTATTTAGCCAAATACAGTAGGCACATTTTTACTCCTGTAACCACAGGGGCTTCAGGACAGAAGATATGAACCGTAGGAATTACCTAGGAATACCAGCTTTTACAAACCAATACAAGTACGAGTATGGGTACTGATATTTGTGTACTTGGACCAGAGACCAGTGTCCCAGAAAGGAAGTGCTGTCCTAGAGACTAAACCTTACCATGACCGTGTTAATGCTTTCTCTTATTTCTTACCATCCCATCGCTTTGTCCTTACTAACCAGTTATTTCTCTTTCTCTCTGTCTGTTTTAGTGTTTTAGTGACCCACAACGACACTGTGAAAATTTCCGACTTTGGAACGTCCAAGGAGCTCAGTGACAAAAGTACAAAGATGTCATTTGCAGGTACGGTGGCCTGGATGGCCCCGGAGGTCATCAGGAATGAGCCCGTGTCAGAGAAGGTAGACATTTGGTAAGTGCTAAAAAAAAACCAATTTATTATAGTACATTACTTTTGGATTAAAAGTTTAAATATATTCTCGAAATCCTCTGACGACTGTGTGTGTGGCAGGTCATTTGGAGTCGTGTTGTGGGAACTGCTGACCGGAGAGATTCCCTACAAAGACGTAGACTCCTCAGCTATCATCTGGGGAGTTGGCAGCAACAGCCTCCACCTTCCTGTTCCCTCCACCTGCCCAGACGGTTTCAAGATCCTCATGAAACAAACATGGTGAGTTGTAATTGAAATGTTTCCATTTATACATAGTCATGGATTAATTGCGATTAATTGTCATCGTAGTTAAGTTAATTAAGATTCTTTACATTTATGGAACAGACAAACACTGGTAGATGTTCGTTTCACATTTGTTTTTATGATGTGTGACTAATTCAAATGATGGAATTATTAATATGGAAAAATGTCAGGGAAAATCTGCAAAAATATAAGTAACCGTCCTTCCATCTTCAGTGCATATTGACAGTGGCTTGTAAAATTATAATAAAAAGCACACGGGTTTTTTTTTCAAACCTCTAGTGAAGCCATTATCCTCAACAATGTGAATCTGTCTACAGTCCCATGGATGTGGATGGAATTATTGGATGTACAGTCAAAATGAATTGACCCACTAATTTTGACGGTGGTGGTAACAACACAAACCAAAGTGCAGATGTGGGTCGTGAACATGAGCCATTCAGGGTTTAGCTTCAGCATCTCTGTTTCTGTTGATCACAGGCAAGGCAAACCCAGGAACAGACCTTCATTCCGCCAGATTCTCCTGCACCTTGACATTGCCTCGGCCGACGTCCTCGGAGCTCCTCAGGAGACCTACTTCAAGTCTCAGGTCGGTTTTATCTGATGAAAAAAAATATCCCTCACTTCTTCCCAAGCATAGGTCACTTTTATAAGCACTTAAACCAAAGCACCATTTGAAACAGTTAACAACTCATTTGCCAAAGCAATTTTTTGCTGCTTGACTCAATGCATTCATTAACAGTCTGAATGGAGGGAGGAGGTGAAGAAACACTTTGAGAAGATAAAGAGTGAAGGCACCTGCATTCACAGGCTGGATGAGGAGCTGATCCGACGCAGGAGGGATGAACTCAGGTGAGCATGAAATCAGTGCTGGTGTGAGAGACGTGCTCTGATCAACATGCTGACAGTCACCGTGTTACCTGGAGGTTGTACTGGCTTTAGTTTCTCTCAGTAACAAGTAAATAAACACTGACTGGCTCGTATGTATAGAGATTTTATTTCAATTTAAAATCACAGAATGCTTAAAAAATGTCCCTCCTCACTGATTCTCTGTCCTCAGACATGCACTGGACATCAGGGAGCACTACGAGAGGAAACTAGAGCGGGCCAACAATCTCTACATGGAGCTCAGTGCCATCATGCTGCAGCTGGAGGTCCGGGAGAAAGAGCTCATGAAGTACGTAAATAATAATTTGTTTCGCTAATTGTCAAGCCTCACTGCTGTGAGTTGTAAATATGTTCTGTCCTCCCTGCAGGAGAGAACAGGCGGTGGAGAAGAAATATCCTGGGTCCTACAAAAGGCAGTTGGTGCGACCCATTGTCAGGTCCAACGCTGTGGAGAAACTCATCAGGAAAAAAGGAAGCATGGCCCACAAACCCGGGATGCCCTCCACTAGAAGGTCCGCACAGTAGCTGAAAAATTTGCTTTTGCATTTTCAGTAGGACAAATGGATTAACACAGAATCTTTGAACAGGCCGGTTTCATTAAAAGAAGAGTATATCGGGCATATCATTTAGTCAGATGATAACTCTTGATCCAAAGACATATGGTTATCCTTGAGAATGAAGACATTTCTGCTGTTATGAAAAATACTTTATCTACAAACACTTTGGAAAAGTCCTTAAATAAAGGAAATTGCTCTAGGGGGCGCAAATGCACAAAAGAAAATGCAATTGAAAATTCCAAATAGATTCAGATTGTGCTAACTTTTCCAGTTGTTTGTTCTTCCACAGGCCAGACTTGCTTCGCTCGGAAGGCATCCCCAGTGTCGACCCTCACCCCTCCCCCTCCCCGCTGTCTGCCAGTCCGAAGATCTCTACGCCTCCTGGTAAAGCTCGCTACAGGAGCAAACCTCGTCACCGTCGTGCCAGCAGTAAAGGAAGCCACACTGACTTTCCTGGCATGTTGAGGCCTCTGGCCGGTGCTTTGGAAGACACCCAGTGTCTCCAGGAGCCACCCCTCCACCCTAACCCCCACCTTCACCACCACCCTCTACCAAACCAGGGGCCCATCCTTCCTTTGAAAGGCCGCGAGGAGGCTGTTGTCAACTGTGCCAACAACCTGCGCTATTTTGGCCCTGCAGCTGCCCTCCGCAGCCCTCAGACGGACCATCTGCAGCGCCACGTCTCTGGCTCAAGTCCCGACCTCATTTCCACCGCTGTGGATGCAGACACGCGAAAGCGGATCTCATCCTCCACCTTAAATCCCGTCCCCGGCGCTACTGCTGTGTCTCTGTGCCCCTGCTGCCAGGCCCATCCCTTCCCTGGCTGCCAACACTGTCAGGAGAACCCACCTGCATCCAGCCACCCAGATCTGCACCATTACTCACTGCTCAGCACCCTAGAAGAAAGCCCAACGTCCTTAGTCGTGCCCAGTCACAATCCGGCCACAGACAGAGAGGTCACCAAGCAGACGGAGCCACAGGAGCAGGAGACATCCCAGCATACACACACCCTTCCCATTGCACTGCCACACACTCTCAGACCGCTCAGGAAGGTAGGCAGTCTCACACCAGGCCCTCTGCCATGTTTTTGGTTGAAAGGAACAGTGAGCGTTGATGATGAGTTGGTTGTTTTTGGCAGGGTGGAGATGAGTCATCTGAAGAGGAGGAGGGAGAAGTGGACAGTGAAGTGGAGTTTCCAAGGAGACAGAGGTAAAATAAAATCGGGTCGTTTCTACAATTCTGGCAGCAGAAAGATCGACCCATTTTAAAATGGAGAAACATGACCTTACAAATGAGTTGAATTTAATTTAATTTTTTAATTTAAAGCTAACCTGTGATTAATCAGGATTAATTAAATCTTTAATAGTTTGACAGGGAGAATAAAAAATAAACCTGTGGTTTCTACTTTTCAGTTTGGATCACTCATGATAAACTATAAATACTGTCTAAAATCACCAGTATTCTATCAAAATGTTTTTCTGTCATACGTAGGAACATTTATTTCTCAATTAATCATGACTCCATTTTTTTAAATAGCCAGTATTAAATATTTCCTTTTCTTTGTTCCCTCTCTCAGACCTCATCGTTGCATGAGCAGCTTTCAGTCCTACTCCACCTTCAGTTCTGAGAACCTGTCGGTGTCAGACGGAGAGGAGGGAAACACCAGCGACCACTCCCACAGCGGCCCTCTGGAAAGGCTGAGCGCCAGTCAGGAGGAGCACCTGGACGAGCTCCTGTCGCACACGCCCGACATCCCCATCGACATTTCCACTCAGTCAGACGGCCTCTCTGACAAGGAGTGCGCTGTTCGCCGGGTCAAGACCCAGATATCACTGGGGAAACTGTGCTCCGATGAACACAGTTATGAGGTTCGGTAAAAGAAACGATTTAATGTCTGACTTTAAACCAGGAAATAGTGTCGTCACGCTGATCTGTCTTCACTTCTCTTCTCTTCTCTTAGAATCCACTAAGATTTGCTGACTCAGACTGTGACACGTCAGAGGCCGAGTGCTCCGATGCCACCATTAGGAACAACAAAGTAGGAGCCCCGTCCACGTGGTGAAACCCTGGAGAGGTAGAGAGGCTCTGATTTTGCCTGGAGGCCATGATGTCCCACTCTGCCCTGCAGAAAATACAGCAATAAACGGATCCATTTGTAGACTAGCTCCCTTTAGATAAGCCCACCATGCAATCTTCCCCACCCCCACACCCCCTACTCCCACCATCACCTATGGTACAGCATCCAGGCAACTCATGGCAGGGATTTCCTTTTGAATGATAATGTACAGTTAGATTGATTAACATTCATAGTTTATTTTTGTTGAAGTTTGAAGGAGAATTCAGGATCTCTCTGTGTTCTCTGTTATCAACAGAGAAGAGATAAAAAAAAGAGAAAAGGACTTTTTGAAACCGGTTCACAGACTCTCCGTGCGTTCGTCTGAGACTAGACAGAGATGCAAAGTGATGGCGAGGAAGATGGCGGTGAGAGAAATCTGCGTTCAAGAGCTGAGCTGCGTGAGGTGCAGAGGAGTGCAAAAGACGACGTGGTTGTCGTCAGTGGTCTCTCAGCTGATGTAGATGATGAAGTTTCTCCATCATTTCACCTAGCTGCAGCTTCTTACTGTTAAAGACCCAAATCCCATAGTCCTTCTCTCCTGCTAAAATCCAACTTCAGAAAACAGAGCCCCCCCCACCGCCCCAAAGAAAACCCCTTCCTCACTCCATCACTTCCATCCTGGCCCCAGACAGGAAACAGGGAACTCGTGAAAACAATGTAACAACACCAGCATGAAACAGCCCGCCTCGCAAGCGGTCTTTCACTCTCTGTGTGTCCCCACGAGGACCACTCCACTGTCCACGCCTGTCTGTGCAGAAGACTGCATGAAGAAAACAAGCTAGCAGATCAGCGGGGACCAAAGACTCTTAAAGACACCAGACGAACTTTGACCCTTCTTATCCTTCTCTCCGAGACAGGCCATTGTCATCGCCATCATTGTGAATCTGACGTCAGCATATGAGTGAAGAACATAATGTGAGCATGTGTTCATGTGCGCATGTGTGTGTGTGCGTGTGTGTTTCCCATCATTTGACATTGCATTTTCAAGTCTCATCTCAGGATCGTTGGAGGACTGTGAGACTCTGGACTGGACCAATTGTTGTATCTTAAGAATGTTTGTCCTCAAGCAGCACATGTTATGGACCACGCGGGATTATTGAAGACGGTCTTACTGTTAGCCTTGATGTTCAACCCTTTATTGCTGGACACCAGTGTCATGTAACTGTGTAGAGTGTAAGGTTTAGTTGTGGTCCAGGTGCAGTATCCCATTTCTGGAAACCACACAGTGGTTCAGTGGTTCAGCCAGAGCTGAACTTGAAGAGTAGAATCACATCCAGAATCACACTTCAAACAATTGGATTACTTCACTGTTGATACACAAATATACAGGTATATATATATTTTCAAAACCATACTGCATACAGTACGTGGAGTCAAAATTCTAACCCAGATAGACCCTGGTTCAGACTGTATTTGTTTGCAGTAAGTAGTCGTAGTTTCAGTATGAGACTAAGGCAGGTCTCCTAAGGTATCCCAACCCATAATTAAGTCAGGACTTTCTGTAAGTAGCATTTTAAAACCTCTTTTTTCCTCCAACCTCGCAGTTCATTCCTGTTCATTCCTCTGTTGACTGTCTTTTTCTGACTCTTTAATTAGAGAGTCATTCACTAGTTTTCTGGCCGTCACTGAACAAAATACATATTCCATTTAAGCCCTTATTCTTTCACTGGTGTGTGTGTAGGAAAGTCTAGCATTTTTTCAAAAATCTAACGTTCTGTGCCTTCCTTCAAGGATAAAAAAAAACTGCACCCGCCCCCACACAACCAAATAAACATAAACTGTTTTATTTTTCTATGAAAACAATGACTGATATCCGTTTATGAAAATCCAAATTTAAAACAATCCTTGTCGAAACTCTGTTTCCTCCATTCCAGTTGGTTCAGACGTTGACCTGCACTTGCTTGTTTTGTTTGTTTTGTTTTGTTTTTGTTTTTTTACCATTTCGTGCTCTGGCGCGTTTTGGAGGGGAAGTTAATTGGAAGGATAAATCTTAGTTTTTGATTTTTAAGTTTACGTTTTTTCAAAGGTTCAGAGCATGACTATATAGATCCACATTTTCTTAATGCCTTTTTTGTTTTGAATGGAAAATGAAGACAAACATCTTTAATTAAGTTCGTGTCTTAATTATGCTATTTAAATAATCTTGTTTTGTTAAAACTAAAACTCTTAATCGTGTCACTGGCTAGATGCTAGAAAGGGAGTAGGCTTCCTTTATATTTGTAAAATATTGAATATTTTTCTACTCTAATTTTATCAATATCTTCATTTGACTTTTGTAATGTTTGATCGAGCAGGATTGATGCGGCGTCTGTGCGACCAGTAGATGGCGATAATTCCACTGATTTAGTTTGTCTTACGTCAATCATTCCTTTTTCTCTACCCTGGATTCTTAATTCTGTTTTATCCGAGACCAACTGAATCCAGAAATGTTCCGATTGTCTTAGAAATGGGATGCTGCACCCGAGGGAGCTTTATTTTAATCTTCATATGAGTGTTTGTCATTCACCTTAACGGCGAGTGAATGAAAAACAGCCAGCCGGGGTTGAATTGAACTATAGTGATGTCAGGAATGCTCAAGACAGGTGAGGTTCTCACAAAAGGAATAAAAGCCAGAGACAAGGCCACAGAGCAAATAAGCTGTTCTGGGTTTTCAACGACCTCATCTCAGTGTTAGTGTATATAATCACCTGTAAATGTAACGTGACCCGTTTTTTGACCTCCGTCTTTTTCTCTATTTAGCCAATCGCGCTATTTGAACAGGGTCCCTGTCACTGAGGACCAGGCGACAGGTTGAAAATGAGCAGGAAGTGATTAAATCCCTATCACATCAGTATTTGGACACAGCAGTAGGATGTCAGTTGCACAGGATGAACTTAAAACACAACTGATGGATAATTTACTTTTTTTAAAGCCTTCTAAAGGCTCACTCCTGGTCCTGAGAACAGCTGCTGCCTTTCCTCAAGACTCCTTAACCCTTCATTATTATTATTTTTCTGTTTACATGGGTGTGAAATAACCAAGTGTATTGTAATGACTGGGTAATCTGATCAAGCTGTTAATAACACTGTGTTTCTGTCATATATTCTGTGAAGTATGATTGTTGTAAAAGTTTAATTTAAAAACATTTATTTTTATTTGTAGCTGGCCTACATGATTTTTGTTTTGATTAATTTATTATAAATAACTGGAAAGGTGTTGTTTTGTTCTTTTTAATTTCAGGCAGCTTAAGTTAGGTTCGACCTCAGGTTTCTCCTGAGAAGTGTTATTAATGGAAGCACAATGAATTGGTACTTCGAGAGGACAGTATTTTTCTGTGAGAACAAAAACAAAAAATGGTTTCATATCACTGCGTCTAAAATGGACCGTTTATTCATTTGAATCATCACCGCAGGTAAGGTATTAATATTGCAGACTTTATATCAAAGACTAGTAACACTGAGTGTTCTGAATCGTTCTATTTTTTAACATGATTTGGACATGACTTTAGCAGGAATCATTTCCGTTTCCAAACACAAGTGATCTGGACATAAAGTCATGTCCTGGACGTGACTTTATCAGGAATCATTTCCGTTTCCAAACACAAACCAGTCATGTGACTGTCACAGCAGGGTATTTAACACATGTATTTAAAACATGAAGGCATGTGCGATGCCAATGTGTGTACAACTTACAGTAAGTCATCCCTTTCATCAAAATACCACTTATTTTCATTCTCTATTGCAGTGCACATGTAGACATCATGTCCTCTCATCCACTGTATGGAGCATCTGCTTCCTTGTTATGATTATTCCAATTCCTGTACTGTTGAATGGCATTTTGATCAACCAATCCTGTCACGTTTCCTTTATTATCCAGTGTTCAGTGCAACTGGTATCTGGGAAAATAAAATCAGAGCAAACAACTGCATGGAATAAATGCTGATGTACTGTACCTAAAACACTGTGTTATCTCTTTTCTCTCAAGATCATTGTTGTGATTTTAAAAATAACGTTTTAACAAATAGATTGATCTGCTGTTAGATTAGATTGAACTTTATTGTTTCCACACTCGGTGAATTGTTGAATAACAAAACAACTATTTTACATTAGACAGTCTTTAACTTCCTATTTTATGTAGCGCAGTTTTTGGATTCAGTAGAATGTCGTGGAGAAGCTAAGTGTTGTGGCTAAAAAACCTCCATTCCTGTCTTAGAGTAGAGAGTGACATTTGGTTCTCTAATTCCTTTGTCTTAACCATATTCTAATATACCTCAGCGTGATTAGTGGTTCTTTTAAGCTTTAGAAAAACGTTTTATACATGGTTTTTCTACCATTATGAACTGAAATGTAATAATTTAATGTTTCATTCAATGTAACATTCATAACATTGGTTTTATTTCTCCCATCTGTTTTATCTAACGTTTGTTCAGCCTCTACGACTAGTAATATTTCGGTGGTAAGGGTACTATACATTTCTCCGATTAATTGTTTACATAACTAGGTATATTTAAATTACACGCACCATGACGGACACAAAAATAACCAGAACCTGGATCAAAATTGACTTCAATAAACGTGACGTATTCAAATTCATCAGGTAGTCGATTTTTTTTCCTGTAACGATATCATGCGTGTAGTACGTGCTGTGGACTTTCTCCTCCTGTTGAACACCCCGGCGTTCAGCGAATGGGCGGAGTGCATAGGAAGACGTTACAAAAACTTGACAGAACGCAGTAAGAAGGTGTCACCGGACGGCGCGGTTCATTAAATCAATGCACAAACTGGAGCGCTCCCTAGGCAGGGCAGAGGCGGAGTCAAAGACTGGAAGTGTCATTCCGTGTGTGGTGCGTTCAGGGTCCAAACAACCTGCTGTCAACGAGGAAGTAACGCTGGACTTGCAAAACTTTAGCTGTCGCTACGTTTGCTGTTGGACGTAAACTTTGTGATACGTTGTAGTTTTCTCGGCATTTAGTATTTTCGTGAGTGACGCAGTCAAAATGTCCTCCGTGGACTTGGAGAAGTTGAGGATGACCGGAACCGGACGGGCCATAGCGGTGCTGACCAGCGGTGGAGATGCACAAGGTGACCTTTGGAATAAAACATTCGACTTGTGTAAAGTAGATTAATACGTCAGGTACATGTAACGATGTAAAACCAGGACAGTTCCACACATGTTAACGTATTAGTGGTTTTAAGGTGAAACTTGCCGGTTACGGTTGACATTTTTAGTTCACAACAAATAGTGACGCCACATCCTTATTCCTTCATTCAGTATCGTTGTGAAATCACACACAGTAGGTTTATAATGACTCTGATTTGAACCCCCTTGTTTGTATATGTTGTAACAGGGATGAACGCGGCTCTCCGTTCTGTCACTCGGATGGGCATTTATGTGGGAGCCAAAGTCTATCTTATTTATGAGGTAAACAATCAGTGTTTATATTAGAGCAGGAAATAGACTCTTGCTTGGTTCAAACACTAGCTTTTTATTGTCAACAGTATTAAGATAAACATTTTGACCCATTACATTTTTTTCCCCAGGGATACCAGGGTCTGGTGGACGGAGGAGATAACATTAAACTGGCCCACTGGCATAGTGTGACAAACATCATCCAACTTGTACGTTTTGAACAGCCCCAAATTACTGTTCTACTTTCTGATGTGTTTACTCCCGTTTTTATTTGTAATTTGATACATTTAAATAATTGATTTTGTCTTTAGAATTACAATTTCTAAGTGATTTGTGCAACTATATATTTTGTGAATTTACTTTTTTGTTTTATATTTGATTTTGTCCCTTTATTTGTCTTTCGATGCCTTTCAAAGGATTTGTAGTTTTTTCATCACTCTCCTCTCATCCATTCTCTACCTGACTGTCTATCCTTGGTAATACCCTGGTAAGAAATCTAGCTGCATGTGCTTGTACTGCAGCTTTATCAGTTAGAGAGACAGACAACACCCACACCCCTCCCACCCCTCCACTTTCATGGCTGAGCTAATAGTGTGATTTCCCTTGGTTGGTGTGTCGTAAAACCTTACGACATGTATCTGTTCATCACGTAACTGATCCAATAGCCCAGGGGTCACCAGCCTTTTTGAAACTGAGAGCTACTTCAGGGGTACTTAGAAATACAAAGCTTGATCCTTTTTTTGTTTGATACACCCATTTGAATATCATTTTCAGTGTAACTGATTTAAAAAGAAAGAAAGAAAGAAAGAAAGAAATAGCAAAAGTACAAACTTTGACCCTTTTGCTGACTAGTTTTATTTGTTTTTAACATACCCCCCGGGCACCTTAGATAGTCCATGGGGCCTACCAGGTGTCCCCGGGCATCACGTTGGTGACACCTGCATTAGACATTTTAGCAAATCAAGGTTATGTGTTTGCACCTCAGGTTCTGCATTTTTCTGCATCACACATTGTTTTCATTGTTTGTATATGGTTTTACTGTACTGTATCTGCTGTCTGTTATCATGGCTTTAGTCAGGCACAGATTTGGTTACGGTGACCTGATTGTTCTGTCCATGTGTTAGGGTGGGACTATAATTGGCAGTGCCAGATGCAAGGCTTTCACAACTCGTGAGGGTAGACTGGAAGCTGCCTTCAACCTGGTACAGAAGGGCATCACCAACCTCTGTGTGTGTGGTGGCGACGGCAGCTTGACCGGGGCCAACATCTTCCGTGGCGAGTGGAGCAGTTTGTTGTCGGAGCTTGTAGAGAAAGGTATACGGTGTTTTTAATGCATGTGTACATTTGCACGTCAAGACTCTTACTGTATGCATCGGTGTGTGTATGTGTTACCTCTCAGGACGCATCACCGACACTCTGGCCAAGCAGCACAGCCACCTGAACATTGTGGGGCTGGTTGGTTCCATAGATAACGACTTCTGTGGCACTGACATGACCATCGGAGCCGACTCTGCCCTGCATCGCATCATGGAGATAATTGACGCCATCATGACCACAGCACAGAGGTCAGGATAGAAGAGTTATATAATGTAAATATGACAAAATATAATTTTGTCATAGACTATTTGGCAATACACTAATGCCAAAGAAAAAGAAATGGGATCATTTGAATATATTAACTTTCTTTAATTAAATAATAAATAGGCCCACAAGAGAAGAAAAGTCCTGACTTGCAAATACTTCTGCCATAGCATTGTAAAAGGAATGCAAACATTCACACATTCAACACTCAACACTCCTCCATTCAAGTCTATTTGGCACGGGTGCCAAACTCCTCCATTCAAGTCTATTTGGCACGGATTTGTATGAACATGTACAGACTTGTATTCTCTGCATCTCAGCAGCACAGACTGTCTGTTAAATCAGCCATTTACTGCAAAAGTTAGAAGTTTTAATATGATTGTGGTGTATGTGTTACAGCCATCAGCGCACATTTGTTCTGGAGGTGATGGGTCGACACTGCGGGTGAGTACGACTTGTATCTGTTGTGATGTAATTCAAGGGCTGCTCTGCCATGATAAACATTATTAATCATTGTATTTTGGTTCCAGGTATCTGGCCTTGGTGTCAGCCTTGGCCTCAGGGGCAGACTGGCTCTTTATTCCCGAAGCTCCTCCTCAGGATGGCTGGGAGGATCGCATGTGTGCACGTCTGGAGATGGTAAGATTACATTAGACATTAGACTGCAATACGACTGAGGTCGACACGCATCCCTGGAGTCGAGATCAAAGGGTGTAACAGGAAGTATCTCCTCTCCCAGAGCCGTTTGAAGGGATCCAGACTCAACATTATAATCATTGCAGAAGGAGCCATTGACACAAAAGGAAATCCAATCCAGTCAACATATGTAAGAGATGTAAGTAAAAGAGAGACCAGCCATCACTCCTAGTTGGTGTAGAAAATTATTATTTATCGTTATTAGTCATTGGGTAGTCAAACTGTGAGTTTAACAGTTTTCAACAGCATTGATCCTGTTCACCTGGTGTGTAATGATGCATTCATGTCTCTTTAAAGTTGGTGAAGAAGCGACTTGGTTACGACACTAGGCTGACTGTCCTCGGCCATGTTCAACGAGGAGGAACTCCCTCAGCGTTTGACAGAATTTTGGTGAGTTTGCACAGAGGCTGTTCAGAATTGATCACAACTGATCCAAACTGAAAAGATAATGAAAAACTCAGTCCACAGTCCTTCGCAAATTCATCCAAAAAACATTTTTTATTTTTTTTCTCCCAGAGCACTAAGTTGGGCGTGGAGGCCGTGGTTGCCCTGTTAGATGCCACTCCTGACACTCCGGCCTGTGTCATCGGGCTGTCTGGTAACCATGCCGTCCGTCTTCCGCTCATGGAATGTGTGGAGATGGTAAGTCACCTTGTCTTTTTGTTATATATTTCAAGCACAGAAACTTTAACAACAGGAAGTGGATCTGTGGTCGAACCTTCTACCACTGATTGCAGACTAAGTTGGTGCAGCAGGCCATGAACGAGAAGAGGTTTGAGGAGGCAGTCAAACTGCGTGGAGGGTGAGAGTGGACATTTATCACTAAATAATAAAAAAAAAATCTGGTCACATGTTTTTGTTTGCTTGTGTTCACCTATCAAAGTCAAGCCAATCAGAACTGAGCTCTTTCTTGCAGGAGTTTTGAGAACAACTGGAACATCTACAAACTCCTCGCCTACCAGAAACCATCCCAGTCAGAAGTGAGTCTCTGATTATTATAACTCACAGTTTTGGCTTGCACATGCTGTAGTACTTTATACCACAACAGGAGTAGATAATAATTACTGTCTGATCTTCCCACAGAGCAACTTCTCTGTGGCTATTCTGAACGTGGGAGCTCCAGCTGCAGGGATGAACGCTGCTATGAGGTCAGCTGTCAGGTTAGGGCTTGCTAATGGACACAAGGTCTATGGAGTCCACGATGGATTTCAGGGACTGGCTAATGGAGCGGTGGGTGCTTCTGTCATTTAGTATTTATCTCTAATGAAAGAGCTCGGTACTGACCTGCTGCTGTCTGTATGCAGGTTTTCGAGATGGAATGGCACAAAGTGGCTGGATGGACAGGCCAAGGTGGTTCACTGCTGGGAACCAAACGGTGAGAGACAGGACTTTTCAGTCCTGGTTGAAATATGGTCACTCATGACTCCTATTCAGGTTGAAATATGGTCACTCATGACTCCTGTAGACCTCTAGATGTATTAACATTTTTTTAGTTATGATGATTCTTGAGTATATTGTGTCCATTTTGAACCTGTTGTCCTCTTGTCTGTTCCCTCTTTCATTTTTTCCTGCCCCTCACATTTAAAATCTACAAAATATCGTGATAAAATTCAGGACTCTTCCCAATAAGAACATGGAGAAAATCGTGGAGACAATTGCCAAGTTTAAAATCTCGGCTCTGCTTATAGTTGGAGGATTTGAGGTAAAGTAGCGACCTGGTGTTAATCCAACCAGAGTCAGTGTTTCCTCAGAGGATTGGCTGATGGCTGTTTCTCTGGCTGATGTTTCAGGGATATGAAGGTGTGCTACAGCTGTTTGAAGCTCGGAGTCGCTTTGATGAGCTCTGCATCCCCATGTGTTTGATCCCTGCCACCATCAGCAACAACGTGCCTGGAACTTACTTCAGTCTGGGAGCAGACACAGCCATGAATGCTGCTATGGAGGTAAAGTAATGATGAGCAGATGGTAAAAAAAAAAAAAACATGTTTAATAAGATGTAAAACTCCATGTCATGTTTGGATTTGTTAAGCAGCAGCAGCTGCAGGTTAATTGCCTCGACAGCCGGGACAGCAATAAATAAGTAGCAACAAGCAGCTGAAAGTCCAGAAAATGATGTTTAATCTGTGTAATTTAAGACATTTGTCGTAACAGGCTGAACAGTTACATTTTTTAAATGATTCTCAACCAAGAGTTTTATTTAATTAATTCTTGTGCTATAATTTTATATCCAACATGTGGAGACCTATGACCTGGATAACTCCACTCCAGTCATCTGTTATTCAAATTTCCTCATCAGGGTTGTGACAAGATTAAGCAGTCTGCCACTGGAACCAAGAGACGAGTGTTTGTGGTGGAGACGATGGGTGGATACTGTGGCTATCTGGCAACCTCCACTGGTATAGCAGTGGGTGCAGACGCAGCCTACATCTATGAGGAGCCTTTCAATATCCACGACTTAAAGGTTAGTAAACATTAACTTTGACTTCAGCTGTATTATTTATACCTTTGTTATTTATCTTCTTTGTCTTTCAACAGACTAATGTGGAGCATTTAACTGAAAAGATGAAGAAGGACATACAGCGCGGTCTAGTTCTGAGGTACAGAACAGTCATGCTGTTGTTATTGGACATGAAAATTGTGAATATATATATATGACGATGCAAATTCTTCTTCTCCGTCTCCACAGGAATGAAAAATGCCATGAAAACTACACCACAGATTTCATCCATAAGCTGTACTCTTCAGAGGGCAAGGGAGTCTTTGACTGCAGGGTGAATGTGTTGGGACACCTGCAGCAGGTGAGGAGCAACCATCTGATTATATTCACATTTGATCAATAAAGTTCACCCTTAATCAGTGGTTGACCAGGTTATTTGAATTGTTGGTCTTATTTTTATATGTGATATCACTATTATCATCTGAATGTGAATCTAAAACAGTTGTTCTCTCATGTTGTTACACTGTAGGGAGGGGCACCTTCTCCTTTTGACAGGAACCTTGGTACAAAGCTGGGTGTGAGAGCCATCCAGTGGATTTCCGAGAGACTGACGGAAAACTTCAAACAAGGTAAGGTCAAGGTATAGAAATCATAGTTTATGTAGTAGAGGGACTCCACAGAAACCGTATTCTAACCAGGGATGTCATAATCCCACTGCTCACCCCACCGTCCAGGCCGCGTGTTTACCAACTCCACAGACACAGCCTGTGTACTGGGCCTCCAGAAGAAAGTCATCTCTTTCGTGCCTGTTTCTGAACTTAAATCTGTGACCGATTTTGAGTAAGCAAATATTTTTATTTTTTGTTGTATATTTATTATATTTGGTATTTTTTCATGGAGAACTTTAAATGGTTTATATAAATATGTATGCATATCTCGGTGAATTACCACCAATGTGTTCATTCACTGTCAATCACTGGTTTACAGGCACAGGATGCCCAAGGTGCAGTGGTGGTTACATCTGCGGCCCCTGCTCAAAATGTTGGCCAAATACCAAACCAGCTTCTGCGAATACGTCCCAGGGGAAATTGAGCATGTGACCCGTCGATCCATCAGTATTGATTCTGGGTTCTAAAACCCATTAATCTACATTTTCCTCTCTGCACTTTTAAACTAATATCTGTCCATTATTGTCTGTGAAATTAGCTACAGTATTTTTTAAAGACTGAATGCATTTTCAGCAACTATTGATCTCAGTCTGTTTTCAAATTCATCACAACTGGATTTGTAAATATTATGAATGTGTGGTTATGTTCAGTGAGGCTGTAAAAACACAGGTTTCTCCTCATGCAGTTGCATCACATTAATAAGGAGATGTCTGGTTAACTCTGTCGGCACTATTTTCCCATTTTGCATAGACTACTAAACAAAAAGTGCATGTGACCTCTATATTAGTTTGTCAAAATCTGAACCATGACTGAACCTTCACTGATATTAGTTCTTTACAGTGATACATAGTGTTTTTTGAACTTATTCTTTATATTTTGGCTTGATAGCATTAAAATGCTGCAGGTTCTCATAATATAATTAAATATCCGGTGCTGGTTTACACTTCGTTAGCTAGCTTCCTTGTTAGTGTTGTGTTGCAATATGAGATGGAAATTCTAATTATACCTAGACACAGTTTTTAGCCAAGGTAACCCAAGAGACCAGTTTTTATTATCACCACATACATAAAACTCCTGTAGTCACGAGTGAAAACTGTTTAGAAAGAGTAAAACACTCCATCAAACACCAAAAAGATATTTGTTTTTAACTATAGAAACTTAACCACAGATTATGCAACGATAAAGTGTGTGTAAAGCTAAAAAAAAGGAAATGTTTTGTGACAAATCACAAGCCTAACCTTGACATTTGCAGATACACCTGGAAGTGTCCCAAAACCAAAAACGTTTTTAATTTATTCTCTTTTAAGAAATTAGTCAAAAGTTGAATGGAAACACAAAATCTTCCTTGTTCTTATCTTTTGACGTTTCCCCAGGACTTTGGAAGTTAAAGGCAAACTGAAAATCTTCACCTTGCTCTGATTGGCCGAACAGAAACTCGGGTCCTGAAAAAAAAATTTATTCACATTGAAATTCACATTTTCTTGTGAATATATATACATATATCAGAATCAGAAATATATATACATATATAATAATATTTATAATATAAATATATTTTACTGACCACTCTGAGACTTCTTTTCTGTGGTGTCCTGTAAAGTCAAACAGAAATTTGTATTGCTGTTAAAATACTACTGTATACAAAGCCGTACAAAGTGTTTTGGTGTCACGTCTGGTTTGTACCTTCTTGTCAAACAAAGAACTGGTGAAAGCAAACGTTGTGTCCTGCTCCTGTGGAACGTCACCCGTTTTATGTGTTATTAATGGTAATAAATTAAATATTTCTTGAAGCTGTTGTAGGCTTAACCCTCACCTCATCTTGTAATGAGTTGGTGTCAAATCCAAACCCTGAGAAACATGGAGTGTTTGGTGTAGAGCTCATGAAGAACAGTGGAGCTGAAGGTTTGATTTCAGAACTCTCGCTGTTTGAAGAGCTGGCAGGGCTGAAACTAACGTGAACAAAAAAAATTAGACTTCTCATGGGATCGCTGACAGTAAATTGAATTTCAGCTGGGTTCTGACCCACAGATGCCAATGCTCAGCTCCAGCACACTGTTATGAGATCTCACTGCTGTCCTACTGTCATTAACTACTATAAATACAATTCCAACCAAATGGGACTGAAGGACAAAACCTCGCCATGTTTGCTTTAACTCCATGGTGTGTTATCACTTACAGAAGTTAGGTTTAAATTTGTTTGTTCAGTATATGAGTGTGTTTTCTATGATGAGTACCAACCATTATAAGAAAAATTGAAAACATTTGCAGTCAAATCTGGAGTAGACTCGGGTAGAAATGTGTCAGAATTCTGTCGTGGTGTGATGTAATGGGCCTGCTTTCAAGTATGTGGATTTGTAAAATATACATTTAAAGACTATTTGGTTTAAAACCTCACGTGAATGAAAACTGCCCCTCGTTGTCCTGTTTGTTGGACGTCAGAAGTTCATCTCTGACCTCAGCTGCCTCCTCTACATCAGTTTCAACGGGCTGCTGTTCCTGAGCAGAAAACACTTGTTTACAGATTTAGAAATGTGTCTAACAATGCTGTTACAGCCAACATACAGAACAAACAACAGTTTAAAATTACATTCTAACATTCAGACACTGTTCTCTAATAATCAAAATGACCTCATCCAAAATATGCTATTCTGGACTGTAGTAGGGAACAAAAAGATAATCACCACAATTACAAGCCTATTCTGGACTGTGGTAGGAAACAAAAAGATAATCACCACAATTACAATCACATTAGTCAACATAAGGTTCATTACCAAGATTTTGTCCTGAGATTCTGTTTCCTTTTCCTGCTCATCACCCTGCATCTCATCCTCTAAACTATGCTCTAAGAAAAAAACATTTTATCTTTAAGGCTGTTATGCAGTTTTAAAAAACAAATAATTACTTAACTGCATCTGAAGACATTGGAATCACTAAAAGGATAAATAATTACCAGCCAGTTTGTGTAACCTCGAGTCACCAGGTTTTTCTTGTTGCCCCGGGCAGCAGGTGGTAGTTTCCTGCTGTTCCTTATGAATATTTTCAGCACAGGTTTCTACTGATACTTTCTGATCAATCTGTGAAATGATTTATGATAAAATATTGGTTTCTGAATATCTTAATAAATAGTTTTTGTTTGTTCTTTGACATATAAGTAGGTAAGACTTATTGTTACATTCCCCTGGGTAAGAATAAGACCCTCAATATTTACTGAATCACTGCCTGTCTGATCACATGATTGTTCCTGTGTCTCGGTTGGAGGCTGTTGTTCACAAACACTGTAAAAAGAAATAAATTTCAGAAAACACGTGCTGCTATTAAGCTCAACATTATATTCTTCAAAATTTACAACTATTTCTAGGGAATACCTGTCTGGTAGCTTCTCTACAAACAAAGTAGTGACTGCAGGACCTAGTCCAACAAAAAAAAGTATGAGTTAAAATGTATTTTGGGTACTTTTAATTTGAAGGCCCAACTTTAGAGATGTTTTTATCCAAAATTCCCAGAAATCAGAATTTCTTAAAAAGAAATATAAATATATATATAAAAGCTTATATAGTATTTGGAAGTTGTGTGTTTTCCTGGTTACATCTGAGGTCCAACTCCTTTTGTTTCATCATAATTTGCTCATCACAGGCCTTGATCCTTTCTTCGATCTCCTCATTTTCAGCCTGAAGCTTCAGGAGCTTTTGAGCCAGAGGATTTTCACAATAATAGTCTTTGTGTGACTGGTACGTCTTTCTGTAGCTTGTAATCCTCTCCTCAAAGAGTTTCCTTGTAAAATTACAAGAAAAAAAACAATTTTTTTGGGTTTTCTTTGTCACAAGACATAAAAATATATTTTTTTTAAAATAAAAGAACCACACACAAATACTCACGTGTCATCGTTGTAACTGGTTCGTCTGCTCTCAAGCTCTGCTTTCAGTGTTTGCTCATACTGGAGGATTCTGCTGTTTGTCACCTTTAGGCTAAAGTTTGAGGAATAACAGTCAATATATTTTTAAGTAATGTGTACAATTAATGGCAAGCTATTAACATTTTTTTCATTGCAACACTGTCCAGCATATGTTTTGATCAACATAAAAAATCAACGTAAAAATACAAAACATTTATACTAAGGACAATTAATGTTGGGTTTTCCACTGAGATGTGTTGTAGTTGAATATGTTATATTAAGATCAACGTTGATCACTTTACCCTTGTGCAACAGCTTTACTGTGTTTCACAGAGCTCTGTTTCACTTGGATTTCCTCCTCAAGTTTCTTTATATTTTCTTTTAGACTTTCAATGCGAGATCTCCACCCAACAATGTCCGTTCTGAAAACTGTCCAGCAACAGGAGGGGAAAATGGCAACGTAACATTAGTGAACATTGTAGTCTGGTTCTGAAGCTAATTTTTCCGCAGAGATAAGGTTGGGACTAACGGTTTTGGTCATAGGCTACACAAGAAGAAATAGACAAAAGTACTAAAACAAAATGACAGTTCTCTGAATTAATGTGAAACAAAATATTTTCAGTTTCGGAGTAATAACCTACGTGAGAAGTCAATATACCATTTAAAATGTTTTCAAGTAACAACATGGGTGTTGTTTTTATTGATATAGCTAACTGTGATTGAGCTCATTTTTGTCAGCATTTTTCATACCTTGAACTTGCTGGTTGTATTCACTTTTCTTTTGAGAAAGTTCTCGAATTTGCAGGGCTGTAAAATCCAGTACAATTTATTGTCATTACATAATTTTTGAATTTCATTAATTAAAAATGACACAAGACAAGTCGCGGCTGCTATAATTAGCTTAGCTGATACTATATAGCATATAATACGCTATACGAAGAAACGTTTTTCTAAAACAAAATACTAAAATAAAAGTTGATTATAAAATATTAAAAAAAAAAACTACTAAAATAAAAGTTGATTATAAAATAACAAAAAGTCTAACATACCAAACCGAGTTAGAAGACTGCCGACGTTGTTGAGAGAAATATCACTGTCCATTTTAAACCACCAGGAACTATTCGACAAAACCATACAAAAGTCACTGTCGACCGTACAGGAGCTATAATAATTTTGCCTGCGCTTTAAATGAACAATTACGGTACGACAGAGTACATCTTATTCATCGTTCTTTAGAAATACCACAAAGAACAAAATATTCGCTCACTTTAAATTATAACAATCGTTGCGTTGCAGGTTGTTATTTGAGTTCGTTGGTCCCTTGGTTTAAGTTAATTAAGCTTGAGTTTTGCACTACCTTACATATTTCTTCGTCCGCTATTATCTTTGTATTTTGTGAGACAATTTTAGCTTATTTCTGTCTAATGGTAGCTTTAAATTAACTAGCTATGGAGAATTACCTACTTTCTTGCAAAATGTTTCATATTTCTTAGCTAAATTCCAGCAATTTATCTTAAAAAAAATACAATGTGCTAAGCTTCGATTAAGTAAGGGCTTGTTTGTTTGTGTTTCTTTTTTTGTTTTTTGATTGTCAAGGAAATTTATTTATTATTATTTTATGTTTGCTGTTTGTTTATTTTTATTTTTTTCAATAATTATCGCTTACAGGGACAATGGCCAATGTGATTTTAATAGACGGGTGATTCCTCCATGTTTTTGCATTGAGAGGCGGGTTCAACGCATCTGTATGGACGGAAACACATCAGCGCGGATTAGCTTCTCCTCCTCCTGCGATGTGTCCCACAGTTCCAGTCGTTTGTCTTCTATAATGCAGTCTGTAGCCGCTGTATTTGGCAAATTTATTTAAGAAAGGTAAGATCAAATTTATGTCAGTGTTCTGTCTTTGCCGGGAATGTTGTTCGCCGGCTGCATTCTGCAGACAAAGAGCGGACATGGGTGGGATTTAAATGGGAGGAGATCAGCTGTGCGAAGAATGGGTCTCTTTGTCGATGTCACACGTTCTGCCTAAATATCATGTGTTTATTGTTGAAGAAAAGGTTCGATCTGTCTGTGTTTGTTGTAAAAAATATTTAGTAAAAAAATATACTAGTGAAGCCACGATTGGAGATAGCTTTTCTACAGAGCTTCGTTGGTCTGTCATGCAGGAAAGAGATAAGACGTCCCCCATTTTTATGCAAATGCATCATCATGGATTTATGATGCTGAGATGTTTCCGTTCAGTATGTTCTCATTCTTTAATGTCTTTGGATCAATAACAATACTTGACCAATCGGTGAGAACAGTGCAGGGTTTCTCAAAAAAAAGGGTCATAATCCAAAAGCGGGTCACGAGAAAACATTTGACCTGAAGCTATAAAAGCTTCAGTTAATCATCTTGCATTGCTTGAAACGTGTTTAAATCTGAATGGAGTAACAACTTTGTCAGTTTCTTAAAATATTTTGTTATATATTTGTTTCAGTTTTTTAAGGCACTTTCTTAAGTAATGGAACGCATTTACTTTATAAAAAAAAATCAACTACTATTCTACAGAATTGTTGTGATTGTAAATTAGCATACTTGTTCCTAAATGCACAAACTTTTCCCTCCATTTCTTCCACAGTTTGTTTGCCTGTGCCACTTTGTACTCTGCTGAAGAACGTGAAAACAATGGGCAGTCATTCCTCAAGCTGCTTCAGTCTCTGATTTCTATGTATCCCACTGAAAAGTAATCTGAGGTCTCCGTACAGAGTTTAAGTTTGACAACATGGCACAGGTAGAGGAGTGTCAGACTGAAGGAGAGGGCAGTCCACAGATGCTCTCCTTGAGATCTGATGTTTCGGGGAATCACGTGGATGATGGACAAGTGGGTCCCTCTTTAAGGAGAAAGAGAAGGAGAAAGAAGAAGGACATGCGTCCCGAGTCCATCATTGTTTACCGTTCTGATGTAGAGCAAGGGCTTGAGGAGGGGCAAAGTGGCGAGGAAGGAGCAGAGAGGAGCATAGAGGAGGGAGCTCAGTTTCTGTGCACGCCCACGAGCGACGGTAAGACGACATGTTGAATCTGCTATTCACTCACATGTATATTGATGTCTCATCTAAACTGATAAACTACGTACCTGAAAAACAGACAAAAATCTGGAGTCCTGCACTGGTTTTCAAAATGTATTACAAAGAACTAGTGATTCCACCCAAACTTTTTTTCCTGCTATAAAGGAGGAGAGAGAAGTTGAGTGAGAAGCAGCATCTTTTTTTAGAGTAGTTACACTTGCATGCATTCTGAGTTACTGTGGAAACCAGAGGAAGACGACTCTTTGTTTTTTTTTTCTGGGCTTTCACAAGGGAATGCTTTGTCCTTTTATTTTACAGATGGAGGCTGGAGCCTCCCTCCAGACAGCCGTTATGTGACCCTAACAGGAACCATCACCCGGGGCAAGAAGAAGGGTCAGATGGTGGACATACATGTCACATTGACAGAGAGGGAACTCAGGGATCTGGCCAAGTCAAAAGAACGTCTAGATGCAGAGTGTGAGGCCGGGGAAGGCTCTAAACGCACCTGTAGCTTAGGTGTGAGTCAGGGACCCCACATTGTACTTTGGAGCCTCTCCTGCGCCCCTGTGGTTTTCTTTCTTTCCTTCATCACCTCCTTCTATTATGGCACCCTCACCTGGTACAATGTCTTCCTGGTCTACAATGAAGAGCGGACGTTCTGGCACAAAATTACCATCTGCCCTTTCCTCATTGTCTTCTACCCTGTTCTTATCATGCCCATGGCGGTGTCTCTTGCTTTGTACTCGGCTGTGGTTCAAGTGTCCTGGGCTTTCAGCGAGTGGTGGCACGCAGTCCGAGACCTGGAGAAAGGCTTCTGTGGCTGGGCCTGTGGAAAAATTGGACTGGAAGACTGTTCGCCCTACAGCATAGTAGAGCTGCTGGACTCCGACACTGTCTCTGGCACTCTGAAGAGCAAGGCCCCCAGTGAATTCGCTCAGACATCGTCAGTGTGAGACTGCAGCTAGTGATGGCTGAGGCAGATTTACTGGAAACATCAGTTCATGTGCTGATATCAATGTGAATGAGGTTGAACAGACATGTTTGGTTGATGACACAAAAGTGCCGTGACATTCACTTAAATTTTGTTAGGGTTAATGAAGAATTTCAGGTCAGGTCTCATCTTAGAATTTAAAGGACTCAAATCTGTGAAAAGAGAACGGATTCTTTTGTTGACGTATGTTTACTAAATACTGTTGTGCTTTTCTGTAAATAATTTCCTGAACACTGCCTAAATTGGATGAAAGAGCCTAATGACAATACCTGAATATTAATATCATCAAAATTTGACAACAGGAAGAGTCAGTTACATCATCTGAGCTTTCATATAATCTCGCTAAATCAAGAATGTCCCCCAGACTGAATATCATACTTACTCAGAAGCTTCTGCATACAGTAGAAATTTGTGTCTCTGTAGAGAGGGTGTGGCATTGTTATGATCATTTTAATCAGTGAAGGCTGACCCGCTATGTGAAAAAAAACATCCGGGTTTATTGGGCCTCACACAGCTAAAATATAAAGTGAGGTTGTCACTTTAAAAAAAATTGCGATTCAGCAGAACAATGACCTCAAAAATAGTCGCCTACAGACAAGAAAAACCTTGCTAAAAACCAGGTCAACTTGTTTTTAACAGAAATCTTGGTTTGTAGATGCTGTTTTTTCTTCTTCTTGTATTTAACAAACACTACGACAAAAAGAAAGACATTTTACATCTTTTCAATAAGGATTTACTGTTATGATAAGACTGTTGTTTCAGGTCACCGAGGTCAAAAATAGTAAAAATAAATCAAATCTTGTCCTGGCTTGTCTACATGAAGTGTAACTTGGCTGTTACAAAGTAAAATTGAAAAGGCAGAAAACACTAAATGCGCTTAAAATATAATCACATATCCAGTACTACATAAATATATATCTCTCAGAATATTTAACTTTTATTATGAATTGTGACTGCTTGCAAAATTGCTACTTCTGTTTGAATTATTCACACAAAATAGCGTCTTGTAACACACATGATGTGGTTCACGTTGTCCAGAATTCATAATTATCTTTTTAATAATTAAGAGACAAAAAGC